ATAAAGACGTGTTTCTTTTTTAACCTTCACATTTACAGAGTGGGAGAAAACACCCCTTTTCCTGGTCTGAAAAATCTCAGCATTTTTTAGGCTAGGCTATATGCGCACTTGGTAGAGAGGAATGGTTATTTGCCTGAAACAGTCTCAATACTCAGCCTACATATGTTATCTCATTTAATTTTCATAAACTTTCTACAATGGATTCTGATAATACCTCCCATTTGCAGAGGAGAAAACTGAGGCACAGTGAGATTAATTTATCCAAAGTCACCAAGTTAAGAAATACAGCAAAGATGATGATGGAACTGGCCCAGTGGTCTTTTAAAGAGGTACAATTCAATTACTTCTATATTTTTTTTTTGAGGCCACTGAAATTCAAGGAGTTGTTTTTTAGTTTCTAGTAGAAGCTGTCTTTTCTAGTACACTTTATTTCTGTCCGTATTAAGGAAAGCTCCAATTTCGTTGGAGACTCTAGATTCCGCCTAGTTGAGCCAGAATTTACTAACATCTATGGCTTCTGTGTGTCTGCCATGCGCTGTGTGTACAGGCGTGAGTCACTGTTTTTGTTTTTAACATCCTCCTATAGAAGATTTTGATCTTATCAGTTGAACACCATTATATTTACCTCCAAAAAGCCACACACAGTATTTGAGCAGGATACTGAATATCTAGCTATGCACTAGTGAAAAAGCAATGCAACTATATCACTGAATCAAACAATTTTGTCCTACAATGTATGTGTCTGGTTCAATTAGCTCAATAATGGGCTCAATGCCCTACGTCATCCTGATGGATGACCCTAAACACAGCTCTCAATAGGATGTCACCTTTGGTTTTATGACTGTCACTTTCCTTAATTGAAGTGGTAGACTAAAAAGTTCAAGAGCTCAAGTGTGGAGCTCTTATTGGATTGTTTTTTGAGGCGCCAGCGTTATACTGGAAGGATCACACAAGTAAACGTCACAGCAGGTCTCATCATCATTAGTAACTGTGCAAGCATTGTCCTACCTCCTGAATTCTCATTTTTTTTTTCTCCTATAAACTAAGGAGGCTATTTGAAAAGGATGGCGAAAGTCACTTAGAAAGTTCTACAATTCATGGAAAACTTGTACCATGACTAGTCTTGTTGGTAATTGACATAATTCATTTTGAGCCAGAGATTCAATCCCTTTGGTGAGTCTTTGTGGTCCTGCCTTTCAAATGCATTTCCTCCTTCATGGCATGCCTAATTTATAGGCCCTCTGTGAGGATTCAGTTGAGATATTGAGTGTTTAAGTACTTTAATATTTGGGGTGGAAGTTAACAGAAAAGTGTTGGGGTTTTTGCTACTTATACAGTCACCCCTGGCGGGGGGTGGGGGGGGGCGGGTTGAGTTGGAGTTTGATGGTAGAGTTTATGGGGCTCTCCGGAACTCTCCGGTGGCTCCATCCCTGCTGTGGGTCAGTTTCCCACAGTTGGGGAAGGGCGGTCACACTCTTGCCTCCCAACTCGTTATCAGACATATCAGCCACACAAGGAATTCAGCAATTCACTGGACAGAAGCAAAAGTTTGGAGTGAGCAGAGCCTCTGCTCTGTCAGGAGCGCCTGGGGAAGGCGAGATGGTCTGAGCAGAGACCAGTGGACACGCATGTGTCCCCAGGCTTGCGAAGGCTCTGTTCATCCAGCCCGATCCATCATCCCCCCCAAATTGCGGTCTGCGCCTAACTCTCCATTTCTTCGTGAGGGTATTTTTAACTCTTCCAGGTTCCTTTAAGGAAGCGTGATCTGAAAGGGTCAGGCACTTGCCTTCTGCTAGGAAGAAAAACTTTGAGAGAATTCCTAAGGTCCTCCCTCGGGTAGGACTGGCTTTCCCCCAAAGAACTGGCCCTCCGCGGTGTCTTTGCCACATAAGGGCTGGTGGCAGGCCCCAGGCACCGGTGGACGGCTGTGTCTTCCCCACAACAGATGGGTCTTCAATTTCAGCAAGTGATCCACGGCTGAGAGGGAGGGCCGCTGGGTTCTGCAGCCAGCGGTCAAGTGGCCAGGCAGCTCAGGGCAACGGGGGATCTGCTGCTGCGTGCCAGGCATAGCTTTTGTGCTAATGACGGATTGCTGACAGGCATCTCTTTCCTGCTCGTCTTGGAGGCAGAAGATTCCCGGCTGTCTTGATTCTGTTTCTCTCTGGCAGAGCCCACGTCCTGTTTGCCTGTCTTTCAAAGCCCATTTTGGCACCAGATGGAGCCCCTCACGGTGGCTAGCAGTTGTCTGACTTGAAGATGCCAAGGAGGCTCTGTGTATGTGTGTGTGTGTGTGTGTGTGTGTGTGTGTGTGGGTATGGGTGTGTACGTGTATGCGTGTGCACGTGTGCACTAACAGTTCTTTCTAACACGATCTGAATTTGGCTGTCTGGTCTGGCCTCAAAAGGCTTAAACACACATAGGCAGCCGGTAGCACCAGCTCCTGGAGCAGGCAGGGAGGGGTCTGGTGGAACTCTTTCCCTCCACCACGTCCTGGTTACTGTGTGAACATAATAATACCGATCAATCCTCTTACTGGTGCCATAGCTCTTATTTACTCTTATTAAGACAATTGCTTTTGATCCTACAATTGCTATCCAAGTTACAATTACTATGAATATCATCCCTGTGGTTCTGTTCGCCAAACCACCGTGCTGTGCTGTGTAAGGCTTCTGATCATCCCTGTCTGAATTTAAATTCTAAATGCACATGTAACTCTATCTGCTCACTTTTGAGCAAGTTATTTAATTTCTCTGGCTCTCCACTTTCTCATCAGATAGGATTCACAGTTGAGTTTCTTTTAGAAGGGTCATTTGGAGGACCATGTTTGAAGTTCAGAGCACCATACCCAGCACTTGTGTGTGCGCTTGATACATAGTGCTACTATGTGTGAGAAAACTCTTCATCATTGTGTCAGTTTGTTTTTACCATCACCTTGAAGAGTGGGAAGCCTTATGGCTATTTTACAGATGAGGCAAGTTGAGGTTCAGACTCCTGACCCCAGAATCACACAGGTAAGAATAAGGCTTCCTTACTCTTACAAAATCATCTAGGGAGGCGGTAGCATTCCCACCATGCTACACCATCTCTCATTACCAATCTAGAAGTGGTCAGGCCTCTCTGAGGCTGGGAATAGCTTTCAAACATACTCTAATATAACCTTGGAAAAAGCAACTGTTATTATTTTGTTTCTTTTGCATCTTGGGCCTTTGGGTACAGAACTGGGTTCCAGTAATCAGGGACGCTCATGACTGCTAACTCTGCCATGTTAAATGGTTTCTGCGAGTCCAGATGATCTGTCAGTCACCTGTGTGAGGCTCCCACAGATGGGAAAAGTGCATGGGCAACACAAGGCTTTTGACCACGTCCTCAGACTCCTTTCCTTTTTCACGTCTACTTAGTTGAAAGAGGGCCCAAGTCAGTAGCTGTGCAATTAGCTTGTGCATTTGTAGTGCTGTTCTTGGGCACTGGAAAAGAGGCTTGGACTTGGTTCACTGTACACAGCTAGGATTCCCAGGGTCCGGGAGTCATTTGTCATGGATAAAAGGTTGATAAACTCTGGCCTCTGTGGAGAGAGGCTGGAAACCGTGTCCAGTGATTATCCATCCAGGAGCCTGCCCTCCTCCTGGGCCATCAAAGGTTGTGTAATGTTGGAAGAGCTATTTTAAGATGTTTACATCGTAAAATCTTGGGTTGAAAAAGTCTTTGCTTCCCTTTAAAGAGTTATTCCCATACCATTTTCTCATCTTGGCATATTCTGAGAGGCCAGAACTTCCTCAGAGGCCCTGCACAGATTCGTATTCAGAAATTGGTTGAACTTGGTGCATCTCTGCACAACATCCTAATGTTAATGGAGGTAGACAGACATCCTGCTCAGGGCTGAATTCATACAGAGGGGTCATAGATGGTCGCTCTTTACGAGTTACTTGTCTTGAGGTGGCAGCAGTCTTACGCCAGTGGAGATTTGAAGTAAAAAAAAAAAATCCTAAAAAAATTAATTGATCAGAATTTCAATTCATGCTGATATTTTTGGGAAAAAAATTTTTTGGACCTGAAATTCCATAGAACCATGTAGGCCTACAAGCAAAAAGGAGTTGCAAAACTTAGATGGCTTTAGAGCTCCTTTTTTTTTTTTGCCCCAAGCAGAAAACAGATGGAGTGGCTTAACAGTAGCTGGTCAGCACAGATGCTTTCACATGACGCCTTTGACACCTGTCACCTTTCCCTGATGACTCTGACAACTGTGATCGTTACATAAGGAACAACTCGGAAAGCTCTAGGTGACCCGCGCAAGGACGCTTTTGAGAGTTAACATGTTCATAGAGCAGCACAAACGGGATTCCTTTCACCCAATTGGAATTATTTGGCCACTTCACAAGTAAAACCCGGGGATCTTGCCACAGAACCAATTCAGAAACCAAGGTGGCAGCTAAGGTGGGAAGATGATCTGCATTGAACCACAGACACCTTTCCACAGCAGGCCTCTAAGAAAAATGTTCAGGAAATACTAGAGAAGCCAGAGGAGCTCAGTCAGTACGCGAATCCTACCCAACTTCTCCCGGGTACTGCTAATTAGGACGTTTTATTTAGAGGTGTTAAGATGAAAGTGTTTACCATCTCCTTACGTTTGTCTAGTATGTGTTTTGCTCTTCGTCACCTGTGAATTTATAGGGCTAAAATCACATGTTGTGCTTGGGGAACAGGAAGAATTCTCAGCCAATTAGATCCAATTGGACCCTGCCTTAAATTATGGTGAGGATCTTCTCTCTGTATGAGTGAAAACACCTCTGGGGTGTGGGGGGAGCGCGAGGGGAGGTTACTTCTCTTGTGAAATCAGCTGGAAATACCAAGAGTGTTTACTTCATAAAGAAGTTCCAGCCAAGATGCGAAAGCAATTCTTAGGCTCCAAGAACAATGCTGTCTCCGACGCAACTTGGTACCTATTCTTTCAACTCCAGTGCCAGGACTGGAAAGCTGACTGTGTTCATCTTGCTTCTCCACAGGTTCTTCTTGAAGTTTTTCCTCAAATGTAACCAGAATTGCCTAAAGAATGCGGGAAACCCACGTGACATGAGGAGATTTCAGGTGGGTGGCTCTTGCCTTGCTTAGCTCTTTGTAGCCACTCGGACGTTAGGAGAGAGGAAAAGTTAGGGTACAGTCACTTTCCCTGGAGGGGAGGAGCAGGTGCGGCCCTTGGTCCCCTGAGTATCTGTAATCTCAGTGTTGTTTCTGTGCCATGGGCATGGGGGTTGAAACACCTGTGCTTACTGCCAGAGGCAGTGGTGTCTTGGAGCTTGGTTTTGCCAAGCTGAAACACCCACAGATTATATCAGTTGCATAGAAATGAGAAATGATTTCCCTAAAAATCTATAAAAGTAGAAATCCAGCACCAGATATAGTAGCTCATGCCTATAATCCCAGCTACTTAGGAGGCAGAGATCTGGAGTCTGAGGCCTGCCTGGAGAAACAGTTAATGAGAGCCTATCTCAGTCAACAAGTGGGATTGCTATCCAGGTCTAGTTCTGAGCAAAAACGCCAGGTCCTTTCTGAAGAATAACAAAAGAAAAAAATGGCAACTCCTTCGTACAACCACTTAAAAGATAATAAAAATATAATTTAGACAAAAACAGGGGGAAAAAAGGCCGGGGATGTGGCTCGAGTGATAGAGTACTTGGCTCTTGGCTACCCAGCAGCCTGAGCCCTTGAGTTCAAACTCTGGTACCAGTGGAAATAAAAAAAAAGGAAGAAAAATGAAAAAACAGTCCATAAAGGGTAAAACTGAGGAACTGCTGTTTTGCTCTGTGTTTCTCTCATGCCGTCTTGGAAACGGCTGGCAGGGGGTGCAGGTTATAAACGGCCCCTGTGAAGCAGGGCATGTCTAGAGCAATATGGCAGGCCCTCTTTCTTCCACGTGTCTTGTGTATCACATTTAAACATTCTCAAACGCCAGGCAGATCTACCACTACTGAAAACACGGGTGCCATGCCAGCCTCACAGCAATGTCTGTCCATTCTCTAATGGATGAGGCCCCCAAATCAAATGGCTTACCTTCTAAGGGAAAAGATGGCACTTTGTTTTGAGGAGGGGCTGCTGAACTCAGGCCATGGTGCTGCACCCAGAATCCCCTGGAGACCTTATTAAAATACTGAGTGAGGAGTGGGGGGGGGGGGGGTGGAGACTGAAATTCTACATTTCTAACAAGCTCCCAGGTGAGGCCAGAGCTATGGAGGAGTTAAAAATTTTCCTTACATTGCCCCCTGTCGGAACTTCATTGCTCCATGCTTTGCGTGGTTGGTGTTGATGTGTTCTTGTCCGCTCTGTCAGAAATAGAGGGTGGTGTTTGACACATGCTCTCTTCTCTACTTTTATGGTGTAAGTATAGATTTCAATGTGTGATCTCTGAGAGGCTCTAGAGAAAATGTAGCTGCACATTCTCTGAGGGGAGAAAAAGAAGTGATTCCGAGCACTGACTGTGGATGTCACTGTCTCCTCGTCTCCAAAGACGGTATTTAAAAGATAGGCGACATTAGTCTCATTGAAGAATAAATCCTGGAAATCACTCCTGAGATTCTGAGCTCTTTCTACAGAATCATCTCAGTCTCACCAACTTACGCCTAGAAAGACATGAATGAAAAGAATCCACAGCTTCTAGAGGAAGAGTGTGTGTGTGTGTGTGTGTGTGTGTGTGTGTGTGTGTGTGTGTGTGTGTGTGTGTGTGTGCGCGCATGCAGCACACATTGCCTTGGTGGCAATGGGTATTTCCTGTGTGTGGTAGGATGTTTGGAGGTGTCACCCACTGGATATCAATAGAGAATATCCCTAACCAAGACCCGAGAAGTACGCCATCCATTGCCAAATGTCCCCTAGTCGGGAAGAAGAGGAAGTTGGAATGCGCCTCTGATTGCAATCCCATGGTTCCTTTCTATTCCTGATAATTTCTGGAAAACTTCCTAGTGACCAAACACCACACCCTAGGATGAGGCACAAGAGCCACCTGAGCCAGGTCCATATTGACCGACAAATACAAATGACCATGGAAGGGTTAAGCAAGAGTAATGGAGGCAGTGAATTCGATCAGAATACATTGTATGCATGTATGAAAGCACCACAGTGAAACCCCTTGGCAAGCGCAGCTCCTGAGATGTGCAGTGTTAGTCCATTTTTCCTCACGGAAGGTTAGGAAAATGCTGGTTTTCATGAGCCCGCTTGGGCTGCTCTTGAGCAGTGGAGGCGTGGGCCAGTTCTCCAAGGCCGGGAAGCCCCGCTAGCTCCATGGATCCTCAAGTGGAGGTGGCCAGGTCTCAGGGCTGAGCCCGGGGTGCGGCGGCCTTTCCCTCCCATCTGTCTCCTCTGTCCAGGAGAGAGGGCATGTGGAGAAGGTTCTTTCTGAACAAGGCCCATCATTTCATCGTTTGTCATAGTGCACACATCAGGAAGCCAGACTTACACTTTTTTTTTTGTATGTCTGCTGCCTCTGAGAAGGACGACAGACTGTGGTATGAGGAAAAACAAAATTCCCTGGCCTCCGATTTCCGTATCGCTATGGCTGGAGCCGCTGATGCCGGAAGCCTGAGGCCTGGCAACAGCGTGTCTCCTCCCATCCACTGTCACGGACAACTTCTCTCCTGGCGTTCTGGGTGCTCCCCGGGCCAGCCTGGTCCTCCCACGGCATGTCAGAGTGTTGTCTCTCGTGAGCAGCCATCAGGGGGGCTGTGTAGGTGACAGAGGAGGACACGAGAAAGGTTGTTGATCTCCTGACACGTAAAGATGTTCTGTCAGAAAAACCCAGCCTCACCGCTGCCGGGCTTGTGGTGTGTACACAGAGACTGCTTAATTACACAGGTCGTGTCAATTAGTGTGACCTGAGTGTTTCCAAGAAATTAATCACTTGCGGCAGAGCTTAGCCGCGTGCATACTTTATGGCATAAACCCTCTAGAAAAATCTGGCATAATCTCCCCCCCCAAAAAAAGATTTATAATGGCTGTTTTCTTTTGAAATTCATAGCCTGTGATTAGAGAAACGAACGTGTTAAAACCCAACCGTGGATATAGGCGGCATTTCGTTGTGGCGGTTGTAGGGAGGTCGGAGGAAGGAGAAGGGGGTGAATTGGGGATAAAGACATTGAGAAGATCAGTGAGACTAAAGGAGCTCCTTGCTCCTTCTCTTCTTCCCTTCCCCCTCCCCTCTTTCTCTTCCTCCTTCTCCTCTTCCTTCTCTTCCCCCTCCTCCTTTTTGTGTGCTGTACTAGGGTTTGAACTCAGGGCCTTTCCCTCTAGCTTGGCTTTTTTTTTTTTTTTTGGGTAGGTCATGAGGCTTGAACTCTGGGTCTGGGCGCTGTCCCTCAGCTCTTCAGCTCAAGGCGAGCACTCTACCACTTGAGCCACAGCACTACTTCTGGTTTTCTGGTGGTTTATTTGAGAGAAGAATCTCACAGACTTTTCTGCCTGGGCTGGCTTTGAACTTCAATCCTCATATCTCAGCCTCCTGAGTAGCTAGGATTATAGACGTGAACCACTGATGCCCAGCTGTTTATTTTTCCTTAAGAATGCTGCTCTACCTCTTGAGCCACAGCCCCACTTCTGGTTGTTTGGTAGTTCATTGATGGTAAGAGTCTCACAGGCTTCAAACCACCATCCTCAGATGCTAGCCTCCTGAGCTGCTGGGGTTAGGGGTGTGAGCCACCAATGCCTGGCTTCATTTCTTCATCTTGACACTAAAATGAATCTAATGTCCAAGGACTGTGTTAAAGCCATCTTGTGATCTGATAGCAATTAGACAATTCAAGGTCAAGTGTCAGTCCATTTTCACAGCTTTCCTTGCTGGGAATCGCAGAATGAAGGAAGGGAGGAAAGAGACAAGAAGTTGTCTCGTGATATTTACCATGCCTGGAAACGGAAGTAACATATACATTTCCAGATTCATCTTCTTCCTCCAACACAGTTTTTTTCAGAGATTATGAATCTGTGTTCACATGTAAGTGCTAGATCTATGAAAAACAGTATATATGAATATAGATGTCAGATATATTCATTCCTGTGTGCATGCACTACGTTCATTCATTCCTGTGCGCAAGCACTTGGCGGTATTTGTTATACTGCTAGGTAATAAATCTATAACAACAAATGAAGTCTTTACCCTGATGAAGCCTATGTTTCAGTAGGAGTCTATTTTTAAGATAACAGTGGCTGCTGTAATGAACAGACCAAGATTATATAATGGCTTGTATCTAACAGAGTAGCTGCTGCTCCTGTGAGGGTACATGGCCCGTGTTTTCCCGCCTTGATAAGTAGATGTTGTCCTTGACATTATTTGGGGACCTGAAATAATTGGATTTCACGTCCCCTCACCATCTATAACTTTATTGTCTTTACGGAGCCAGGCCTGAAGGATGCCTTGATCAGCCTTGCCTTAGACCCGGTCCTTATCGAGTCTGCCCTCATTCCATTGGCTGGGATTTATCTGTCTCCCCAGGGAACATGGCCAAAATCTAGTTGTCCACTATAAATTACTGGGAATTAATGATAGCCAGAAAAAATTAAACAGATTCTTCAGAGAGAGAGAGAGAGAAAGAAAGAAAGAAGAACCAGGTGGGGTGGTTGTGGGAAGCCCCTGGCTTGTCACAGGTGACTGGAGGTGACATCTAAGTTCAGTTACAGAGGTGAGCTGCCCTTTATAACCATGGCCTCTCCATCCATCGTGACACGAGCAAGAACTAACCTGTTAGATGTGAGCTGTTATATAATCTTCAGTCTATTTGTTCCAGCAGCTAGAATCAGCCTACAGGTAAACAATCCCCTCCCTCCATTGAAATAGAGCCTTTACTAAAGGAAAGACTCTATTTTGATTATTAGAATAGAATCCCCCCCCCCCCACACACACACCATTGGGACATGGATAAAGACTATACATTGCAGATCCAACCAGTTTCAGAGTGGAAATATTTGAAAAGAAACTTATAACCTTACTGAACATATGTAGACCATTTTCTTTTAGTCCCTAAATAGCACAGCACAACCACTAGTAACTCTTGAGTTCGCATTGTACTAGCTATAAGTAATCTAGGGCTTTTTAAAGCATGGGAGGA